CGACGGAATCGGAATCGGAACCGCCATTAACGTTCTGCGCGATGTAACGTCCTTACGACTTACCCGCGATTCTTATCCGATCCTTCGATACATTCGTTTCGGAGGATTTCTACGCTCTTCGCGAAACGGAGCAAAATAATTATCCGGTCCTCGACGAGCGCACGTATCATCGGAAGGCCGCGTTTCGCGTAACTTTCGGTCGATCGAGCTCGCGCCACCGTTGCAAAATTCGAAAGAGAGAGAGAGAGAGAGAGAGAACGGAGAGAATAGAGAGAATAAACGGAGGAAAAGCAGAAACGATGGGTACGATAACGCGGCGCGACGACAGACACGGGCGCGGTCGGGCGGTCGCGCTGCGCGAACCGAGGCCCATATTAATTTCGATCGGCGCGGAATGCAAACGAAGCAACGACCTTCGGCAAATTTCTAATTTCACTGCGCGGTATCTATATGCGAGGTGTATTACCGCGGCGGCGGATCACTTTCGCACGGTGGCCCTTTTACCGAATCGCTGCACGCCCCGCGGACGTTCGCGTACGCAAACAGCCTGACGTCACTTCTAGATCCGTGGGACGTTCGTGCTCGTATCCCCCGCGACGCGTGACAAGTTTCCTTTATAACGCGGAACGTTTCGAAAAGGGAGTGCAAAGGGGAGCCCGATGAAAGCGCCGCGGCCACGACCCATCGCGACAACGGCGCGGACCACGCTAATGCGCTCGTCAAGTTTTACGAGATCGTGCAGGCTAACACGCTAGAAAGTCCACGGTTAATGGGTTCGAGGAACGAAACGCGGGAGGAAACGCGGTAAATGCCCGCTTTGAGAATTCGTCGTCCTTAATTGCCCGTTTTTGCGCATCGAAGGTTCGCGGAGATCCGCGATTTCACCCGGGCACCGTGGTGAAACGTTCCTTTTCGTGGCAACGAATTTTGCCGATTTCGACTTTCGTCGCTTTGCGAAACGGATACCGTCCAGCGATTTATCCTGCTGCATATCGTCCCCCTCGCGACGTTTTAATTGTCATCTCTCGGTCGCTGATGAAGTCGTTTCGGTTTAGAGACGCGTGACGCAACGCGATTTTATGAGGCAAAGAGGTACCCTCTCGGTAGGATTCGTTCCGCTATTGAGAAATACGCGATGATCGTTCATTACGCTTGAAAAATTCCCGAAGTTTGGACTCGGGATGACGAAAGGTGCGTTTACACGGACGTTCAAGACGGATGATACTGCCTCCAGTTATATTACTCATCGGCGTACGTGGGATCGTAAAGAACGTTGAGCGCGCGTTTCAAAAAGAGAGAAAAAGAAGCTTACGTCACTGCGAAATATCAATTTTTAAGAAATAACACGCAGCGCCTATTACCTCGCGTATTCTCATAAATCAATCAATTTCTCGTAAACCAAACAACGCGTAGAGTTGATCCGTGAAGTAACGAATTAATAACTTGGCGCGTACAGTACCGCGTAAAAGTTTACGACCGCCTGTCAAAAGAAGCTGCTCCTCCATCTTACGAACGAATCCCCGCGCGATCGAACCTTTACGACCTCTCGCGAGTTCAAATGCTTCGCGATTTTCAAAAGACTTCTCGCGTGTCCCGGTGAGAGAAGCTTTTCTTCCAAATTCTCGAGACGCGTTCGCGGTCGCGTTTCGTCTCTGAATCGTTATCCCCGTGGCACGAGCACCGGGTTGCGCAAGCTTCGCTCGAGCGAGGCGTGAAAACGTCGTTGGATCGACGGTGGGCCCCGTCCCCCGTTTCTCAAGGTGTTTTATTTTTCGTTGCGTCAACGAAAGACCTTCGGACATCCCGAACGCAGAAATCGAGCCGCGGTTGAATGTGCAGCGAGTGCGACAACAGGTCGGTCAGCAACGCACGCGTATATGGTATCCACGCACGATCGGAATTTTCCGATAGCCACCGAGTCGCGATTTATGGACGCGCGAGGAAACGGTCGCGAGCCGTTATACACAGCCTCGGAGTCGGGCCTGGAAAGCGGAGGCTCCACGTTCCAAGCCGATGCCCGATATCTGCCTGTATTATAACGCTGCCAGCTGCCGCTGCCAACCGAGGGTGAAGAAGAAGATCCGATCTTTTGGGGCGTTGGAAATTAGGGAAATTTGGAATAACGACGATTCCCGAATAAGGTACTCGGTTACTCGAGGTATAAACGGTTAAACATTGACCGAGAGCGTTTCGACGATGAAATTTCGGAAGACTCGAAAGGTGGAACACCGAGAGAAGTAGGCAGAGTAACACGGAAGGAAGATACCACGAATGATCGAACGAACCGATGACCTTGGTCCAAACACCGATCCATCGACCTACCGGTGTAATTCCCGAAAAGAGTCGCACCTGATGCCCCGCCGGACGTAACCGTGCGCGTTACGAACACGTAAGCCCGCGAGACTGGCGTCTCGGCTCGGACAAATTGGCAATCGGCAGTCAGAGAACGGGGGCTCCTCGGCAGAAAAGTATTCTCGCGGCGTTTCGAGCGACGAACACGGTGACTATAGGACAACGATGCCCCGGGGCAAGGACTACGGGTTGCGACCCCAATCGCATTCGGACTCCGCTTTGCGCAGGTGTGCGTGGTCATTAATCCAGAAATGGAAGTGAATGCGGGTCGAAATGCTAGCCAGGAGCAGGCTCGAGCGCTGCGTCGTTGCACGCTTGTCTCTTCTTCTCGCTCCTCTCCTTCCCTCGCGGCCTTTCCTTTTTTTTCCCTCTTTTCGCGAACCCGCCGAATCGGCTAATAAAAAAAGGCGTGGCCCGTGCCCCCGACCCGACGATTTCGCGGTCCCAAATGTTTTAAACGTGCCACGGCGCGTCGTGAACCTGACTTTTTACCGCCGACTATGAAACTGCTAGTTCCCCGGCGGACATTCGGATCTCTTCAGATCATTTCGGCAACCCGCCGTTTTTTCGCGGGTTATCGAAACGAGGTAATCCCGCGCGCTCTGCCACCGCGTTTCAGGAGCTCGAGATACGATTGATTCGATCTTGCGAAACGCGCGGACCGATTTCTCGAAGCGAATTTCGACTATGATCGATAGACGACGGTTTTTCGACGAGGACCTCGCGTTGCCTCGTGCTCTTGGGTAACGTTATGCATCGAGTCTGACGTTTTATCACCGGAGATTCGTGATCTAGATACTCTGTATAATAATTTCGAAGGACAGGTTCTATCCCGAGGAAGCTGCGATTTGAGGGTAAAATCGATAATTTAACGCGTAAGATTCTAATCCCAATTGAATCGATCGAAACCACACAGACACCGAGTCACTTTTGACTCGCGCCGAAAGTGGGTGCTGATAATTTTTCCCTAAATCGGGAAAAAGCGATTATCGCTCCTCTCTTACGCTGCGAGGATCAAGCTTGCGTTTGCTTCCCATCCTAGAAGACCTAACCCAATCTTGGCCAAGGAAGATTTTCCAACGGAACACGTGGACCAACTAACGGGTGCAACGAACGGTTCAAAGACACTTATCCTAATACCGATCGAGCTCGGTTAATCGGTAACATTTGCAAGGACGCTATCGGCTGGACAGCCTTGGCTCGTTCGTAAAACGCGCGTTTGCCACGCGAATAGGTTTTCCATAGAATGGCCGGGGTCGGTGGGCTCGTCCGACGGCGGTATGCAGAAAAAATCGAACATAATTAACCCATAAAGCAAACGCAATCGCCGGAGATCTCCGCGGTTTTATCCATAAGCGAGAGAGTCCGGCCACTTTCCAGCCACGGCTAACCTATACGTGCATGCACGATCGCGTACCTGCGCGCGCGCGAACGCGAGTAGAGACAGGCGATAGCCGATAGAGGTGCTTTCCTTCGCCTTCGGTTCATAATGTGCAATTCTACGGTGTTGCGAGTGTAGGAATTTTAAACGCGCCACTCGAATGCGCCGTCCCATTGCGGCTAGGCGTTAACTACTCTTAAAGATCGACCCCCGGCATCCAGCAACTATGTTAATCACGTATCGGATATTTTTAACGGCCGACCAACGCTGGATTAAGTGTTTGTCCTATCAACCCAACGTTTACGGCAGCTTGTTTGTTTTCGTTTGAAAACACTCCTTTGGCATGTGTCGAAACAGAGTCGAACAGAGAGATGGGGAGACCTAACGCGTCGTAATCGCTGATAAAAGCGAGAAAATAGAAAATACCACCCGGTGTTACGTTATACGTTACGTTATCGTGGTTAAACGAAATTATTAACCCTTTGCACTCGACGACTTTTTCGCCAGGGAAGAGTAGAAATTCAAAGATTCTCGACTGAAAAACTGACGATACCTTTTTCAGCAGTAAATGAAGAATTGTATACTAACAGAGTTGTAGAATTATTTGATTTTAATACCTCGCACGTTGTTACATTACATTAACCCTTTGTACTCGACGACTTTTTCGTTACAGAAAAATAATAATTCGAAGACTTTCTGTCATAGAGTCGACGATATTTTTAAAATGGTAAGCGAGAAATCATATGCAAATTAAGACGTAGAATTATTTTTCTTCCACATTCCACGCATCGTTAGGTAATTGTAAATTTGACATATTAATTAACGTCGATCTTTAGAATCTGATTAAACGGTGACTAAGAGTCACCTCTCGAGTGCAAAATGTTAATATCCTCGAAACAAAATTAAGTTTCGTGATCGGACAAATGTCAGCACGCGTCTCGTACGTACAACCTCGCGACTCTTTGTTCGCGCGACTAAGAAAAGCGAGAAAATATAAATTAATAATTTGCGAGGTCGAGTCGTATACGTATGTATATTCCTTTCGAATTATGCGCGGGATTGATATTCAAAAATGTTTTCTTCGAAGCATCACGCTCCGACATACGTATGTAAATAAGGTGTTGGAAAATTATTTTGCGTAATCGGCGAACCAAAGTCTCGCACAGATGTCGGCACGGGTTAGTCTGACCTGCCAATTCCGCGACGCAATTCACGCGAAGATTGTTTCGACGGTGCATGCAGGTATGGTTGAAATTCGTTTACTCACCGGTAGATATGGAGAGCGGCGGTGGCGTAGGCGTCGTCGAAGGTGAAGGGATTCTTCTAGCCGCGGCGGTAATTATAGCCGCTGGACTATACCGAGGCACCTGCAACACCACGGGAGTTTTCACGGACAGATCCACTGGTTCCAGCTGCACCGGCGGTCCCGCCGCCTGAAACAGAAACGAACATGCCGGTTAATACGTATCCGCCATGATCAATTTCACCGAGCGAGCCTCTCATTAACGCGATGTAAACGAAACATCGGACGCTGATTAGACGAATTCGAGATTACTCGAGTGTGCATAATCGGAGCCCCTCGTGCTTCGCGTTAGGATACCTCGCGAGCAATACGCCGATCCGAGGGAATATCTCGAAACTGAGAAACCACGACGATAAAGATATTTCTCTGGTGTATTCGATGCTTTGATCGGGAATATTCGAAATCTTGAGTGAAAAGTACGGATTCGTAGGTTACGAAAGTATACGTGTACATAGAATTTACGTTGCATACCTCGATGCTGTGCGTAGAAATGGTTGCACGGTGAAAGCGAATAGAGTTGTGGGATATGCGCGTATTAAAGGAAACGGAAGAATGAAATGGAAGCACGCCGAAACGATAGCACGCACTACACTGGCCACGCAGTTGCTCACGCCATGCCGGTTATAAACACACTGAGGCTGTTACGGCCTCGCCCAGGTGGCACCCTAAAAGATAAACAGTCGGCCCAACGCTAATCGGCTCTTTCCTTCGTCCTCCGCACGCGGGCATATAAACACGAGACTCGAACACACGCGAAATATCCAGGCTTGGGAATATTTCTAAATTCTCCATACGTGCGCGGTTAGAATTATTAACGATTATAGCTTTGATCGCACCGTGGATTTCCGACAATCTTGTCACGCTTGCGTCACTCGCGCAGTTTTTCAATATTACCAGCGTCCGAGTACCAAAAGTACTCGGTATGCGATAAGTAAGATATTATCGACGTCTCAATTTTTCGCGGAAAAATTGATTACGCGAAAGACGGAGGAAACGTTTCCGTTGTAAAGAGGTAATATATTTCGTAAACACGAAGGAGGTTGAAAACGCTTCGTCGAGAAGGAAAATTCACGCGCTCGACGATGGAAGCTATCGCGCTGCAATGATCGAGAGCGACCGATCTAAAACCCCTCGGAGGGAGTGAGCCCGATAAATCGATAGCCAAAGGTACTACCTTCGTACCTAGCTTATCTGCCGGAGAGCTCGATGCTGGTAGCAGGCCCAAGTGCTTTCGCGCAATTAGCATAACTAGCATTGCTATTGACGTGGACTAATCACGACCAGTTCCCACGAGATCCGAATGACCCAAGAGCTGCCCACCGACTATAGCGCCGATGCTATTCAGCTTCCTCGATCGCCTTTGATTGTTCCACGTTCGACGGACGCGATGAGCGAGCGATAAAATTACGACAATGTCCACGTAGCGACGTTTCGCTCGTGTTCCCCGTTTAATTGCGATACGCGATTGCGAAACGCGAAATATTTTTGCAATGCCTGTTTTTCTCGCGGATGTATTCGACGCGAAATCGTAAGAACAGGTTGTTGGATTACGAGCACGGTGATTTAAAGGAATCGAGTTGTCGATTTGTCTTCGTTACGTTTTTGTAAACCGAGTAATTATAAGATCATCGTCGGCGTTCACCTGTCGCGCTTAATTACTTGCGTATTTCCCTTCGTTTGCCAAGATTTATAGCCGTGCCACACGCGAGAACGACATCGGACACAGAGTCCGATTATTCCAATTTTTCCTCCCCATCGTAGACGGCAATTCCTATTCCCGCGGATTAATCTCTCGCGCCGAGATTAAAGCGGACAAAAGGATCCAAAGATAACGACGGAACTCGAGAACCTAACGCCTACGGAGCGATCGACGCGATTAATTTACTTATTTTTCACCTAAATCGAAGCAAATCCGTGTCCAACGTGCAATTCGATAACGAAGTTCTTCTTCTTCTTCTTCTTCTTCTTCGAGAGAGAGAGAAACGTTCGTTACGAGCGTTTCACCCCGAGCAAGAAAGGCGAATCGCCGAATTATCTACCGCTAAAGAGGACGCTCTGGATCTACCATCGCCTCTCTCCTACCATCCGAGATACAACCTGTTTCGGCGAGGCAGAAGAAGTCGTCGCGGGCGACAGCGAAAAACAGCCATTTTGTATTCTACGTACTCGCGCGCGGGATCCGCGCCGGTATCGGATTCGCAAAACAGTCGGACGGAAGATCAGATTTACAGCGGCGCGGCGCTTCGACCACCGAGAGAGCGCGATTGTTTCCAGGTAACGTCTTGACGAGACGTGGGAATGCTCGAGCGCATATCGACAATGAAAACCGTCCACCGCCCCCGCCTTTCCGAGCAGCCACGAACCAACGGTATCGCGTCGTGCCACACGATACACGGCTAATAACGTAACCCGGTTGACAACTCGATGAAGTGGTAACGTCGCGAGGTTAACAAATCGTGGACAACGCGAGGAGAAAATGAAACGTGCCCGATGCGGACCGCGTGCTATTCCTTCGGGTCTTCTTGTTACAGGATTTTCAACGGCGAATCGATAGGTGCAGCTGCTGCAACTGTACGAGGTCGAAATGGAAAATACGCGCGACCGAAATGAGGATATTTGAATAAATGAAGGAGTTACTCGCGGGAGATACAAAATATTTAAACAACTCGATCGAAGAGCGACGGAATTACGAATATAGCTGAAAAATTCAAATTCCTGCTCGAAAGTTGACTCGACTGAGATCGAAAAACGTGGCTTTTCTCGTCGGATTATTTTGATCCATTGCAAGAGGAACGCGTCCGAATTTTTCTGTTCGGGAATATCCACCGCCTGTGACGATAATTCGACGTTCGTAATGGCGAGTCGTGTCTGGAATAGAAGTAACTTGCGAAACGGAGCGGCAAATCGATTGAAAAAAAGAAAAAGAGGGTATTCGTCACGCGAGACACGCCCATGGCAGCGTTCTCGTTTTCAGGAAACTCGTGGTTACGCGCATTTGTTATTCATGACCGGTGGACGAGGGTCTAGCAGGATCGTTCGTAGTTTCGGCCACGGCAATGAAATCGTAATGCCACGCGCGTCACGGCGCATAGAGACGTCGCTACCTTTGCGATCACGCTCGTCTAATCAAGCGACTCGGGAACAGAGCGATCGATTTCCAAATTTCTAGGAACGCGCAGTCTGCTACTCGAACGTCGAAGATGGTGGCAGCAAAAGGAAACCTGTCGACGAAATCGAACGGAAATCTCTCTATTTCGCAATATCGGTCGTCGTGCTTGCGCCACTTTGCTTCCCGAGCAATCTTCATTCGAGGTACCGAGACGCGTACGCAATAACGAATTGTAAATGAATACGTTTTAACGAGAATCCAGCAAGGAAGGAGACCTGTCTCTCTCTTTCTCTCTCTGTCTTTCTCGGCGTATCGTATCGTTTCGCGCGATTTGTCTCGGTACAAAATCTACGATACCTCGGCCTGCTTTAAAAAAGGAACGAAACGATGGCGGGCCTGCTGTTCCACGGATGAAATCAAACGACGTATTAAATCTGCGATGACTAATGAAAGACCGGGTAAACTGTTCTTAATGATGCCGGTACGCTCGAGATATATAAGGAACATATGTAGCGGCGTATATACTGCATATTATACGTACATATGTTCCCACAGTAGCGACTGGTAATGAGAATATAACGTTCATCAATCATTCGTTAGGCAATCCGCGAGCGAACGACTCCCGGCGGAATTAATTTAATTACTACAAATGTTTCGCGATAAAAATGGCCGGCGATCAATACATTGTCAGTTGCAGAGGTACACCGTGTCCCTGCGATAATTTATGCAAAGGAGCAGCAGAGTTTGAACGCCGGCTAGATTGCCGCATTATCGCCAGACGTTATTAGATCGGTTAAACGTAATTAAGAAAATTTAATATGGATAATGACCTCTAATAAATATAATAATACGTTAGCGAGCGGTGATCGATAACTTTTAACGTGCCGTCGTCTTAGGAAATAGATACCGGTCTCTTTTCATTTGTCAGCCGAGCACGGATGTGCGCGCCAAAGAAACCAGGAAGAAAGAAGAAACGAATATTCTCCGCGAATTGGCAGCTGGTGGCCAATTAGGCTGTTAATTAAACGTTTCGCAAAGCGGAGAAACGACGGGCGGCTGAAATTGCCGCGTTTTCGAACGAAAATTTTCATACGTTGGAAGGTTATTGGCAAAAATCAATCTAGGATATAAGATGCGAATAAATAGTTCGTATGATATAAATTCCGAGACAAGGAATATAGACATTCGATGGGAGTTGGGAGTTTGGGGCTGTTAAAGGGGTTATAACGCAAAGAAATAGTAGTCAGTGGAAACTGTGGAAAAATTGTATAGATCTCTACTGAACGGACGAACGGTTAGAACTGGCCTGTTTAGGGCCACGCAGGTGAAAGACGTCTCCAGAAAACGGGAGACAAAAGACAAAACGCAGAGGAAGGATCACCCTCGCATCGCTAGGACGTAGAATTTACTTTACTATTTAATTTTACTACAACAGGGGCGTACCCTCTTGACACTGTCTCAGGAGTCGGGGACAGCTGCAGACGCGTCCTGGAGGGGTCGTCGGTTAGTCTCTCAGAAGAAGCATTAGAAAAAACATGTACCTTCCTCGTGAAATAAAAGACTTACAAGAGAATATATATATCGTAGTTACTTTACTATTAGAACCCATAATCCTAACATCGTATAAACCGATTTCTCCGCCAGCAACGTATTTCCGCGATGACTGGAATACGCGCGATTACGTCTGCGTTCTTTTCTCGGTTGATATCACTCTAAATTTCGCCAATTTCCATGGACGCGCTCACGTTCTCTCGGTGAAAAATATCACCGAGCAGGCCTTGGCATTTGAATTGCCCGCGAGCCTTCGGCAATTTTATCGCGTCGAGATTAGAATCGTAGATGCGAGATCCGCGAATGGTTGGCGCGGGGGAAATCGATGTATCGACGGGTAACGTTGCCACTATGGAACACACCGAGTTTCGGGTCAAGCACGAGGAATAAATTAGCGGACGGGTCCTGCCCTTCCTAGCGGAGAGGATCACAGGTGAGCGTGTGCAGCACGACGGCCGGCTTATGGCTGT